GGGTTGGTACTAGTAGGCTTTATAAGCTTTACAGAAAAGATTAAGGTTTCAGGAACACCCCTAAACCCTAAACCCCAAACTTCCCTAAACCCTAAACCCTAAACCCTAAACCCTAAACCCTAAACCCTAAACCCTAAACCCTAAACCGCCCTCATCGAGTCATAACAAGACCGCGCCTTCCTTGTGAGGTCACCCATGTAATCGACGACCTTCCAGGTCTCCACTTCTTCCTGCCATGGAGAGGGGGCGGAGTTTTTTTTTTTTTGGGGGGGGGGGGGGGGGGGGGGCGGAGGGTTTCGGGGAGGTTTAGGCAGCGGTTTTGGGGTTAGGAGTTAGGGGTTCGGGGTTTAGGGCCTATAGAGCTGAGGGCTTAGGGTTTAGGGAGGGTTTTGGGCCCAGTTAAATCCTAAACCCTGAGCCCCAGGCTGCTCATCCAGCAGGTCATATTGAATGGGTGTGTGTTTGGCTTTGGGGCATTGGTCGGATTAGGGCCCGGTACAAGTTCACGAGAAAATATTCTCGGTTCCGAAAATTTTTGTGATGGTGGCTGGCGCTGATGCCCAGGTGTATCTCGAACACGGCTACGCCTGCCTTGAGACTCTGTCATACTCCCTACCCACCCACCTCTATCTTGGCAACAACATGGGAAGGATTTGAACAGTTTGGGCCTTCGAGGTCCCCGGTAGTTTCGAGCTGAGGTCAGCCCCAGGCAGAAGGCCACGGACTCGAAGTGCTCTTACTAGGCATACTTGCTCAACTCAACTTCCTGGGCTTACTGCCTCGGACTTTCACAGATGTCTATAGTCCTTTACGCGCATGCAGCTCATGTGACGAGGTCTTTCTGCAGATATATGCAAAGCATAGCTGTTGACAGCTGCTAGTTGACACGTTCTGCCCTATCCTCAACGACAGACCTTCTTTTGATCTCAGGGCTTCCATGCGCGTCAGATACGGGATCGGAGCACCGCGAGCCGGCTGGAGGTGGCCCACCTGGCAGCGAATGCCGCTGCGAAGCTCCTGGTAGATTCCACTTTTGTACTGCACTGCGTCCTGTGTCATCACACACGGACTTGAATTCCGAATTGATTGCTGGATGGCGGATGTCAAGAATCCTTTCCAGTCCCAGGAGTCGCCGTATACATCTTCTTGAAGCAGCCGAATCACAGTCTTATCATTCTGCAGGGCCCACTGCTCCTTGAAGTGGTCTCTTTGTGGCACGCCTCTATCATCTTCACATCCACCCCACCCGAACCCAAAATGCCCAATGCTGCCATCCAGCTCGATGAGAATGGTGTCGCCACGTAGGCCAAAGTCGAAAGGCAACGTGCGATTTGATTCCGGGTTCGTGCATCCCGGAACTTGTGAGGTGATGTTGAACTGTGGAAAGCTCTTGGCCAACCACCGCATCAACTTGCCTTCGGTCTTTTTGAAGCATAGGCAAGCAGGGCTGCAACCTTTCTGCAGGCTGTTCAGAGATGTGCTGCAGGAACGATGGCCGCAGTGGCGACACGTCACATCTAGCTTCGATGTCTGATCTTTCACATGGGTTTTCCACCAGCTTCTGTCCATGCGGCTGACATCGTACTGGTCACCATAGCGCTCTCCAACAATCTCCAGACATCGAGCACGCCCTGTCAGGCTGGACCAAGGCACACCGCCATTGCAGAAACAGCCAGGAGAGCAGCCGTTCTGCAGGCTGCCCAGAGATGTGCTGCAGGAACGATGGCCGCAGTGGCGACACGTCACATCTAGCTTCGATGTCTGATCTTTCACATGGGTTTTCCACCAACTTTTGTCCATGCGGCTGACATCGTACTGGTCACCATAGCGCTCTCCAATCATCTCCAGACATCGAGCACGCCCTGCCGGGCTGGACCAAGGCACACCGCCATTGCAGAAACAGCCAGGAGAGCATCCGTTCTGCAGGCTGGCCAGAGATGTGCTGCAGGAACGATGGCCGCAGTGGCGACACGTCACATCTAGCTTCGACATCGCGCCCTTAACGTGGCCTTTCCACCAGCTTTTGTCCATGCGGCTGACATCATACTGGTCACCATAGCGCTCTCCAACCATCTCCAGACATCGAGCACGCCCTGCCGGGCTGGACCAAGGCACACCGCCATTGCAGAAACAGCCAGGAGAGCGGCCGTTCTGCAGGCTGCCCAGAGATGTGCTGCAGGAACGATGGCCGCAGTGGCGACACGTCACATCTAGCTTCGATGTCTGATCTTTCACATGGGTTTTCCACCAGCTTTTGTCCATGCGGCTGACATCGTACTGGTCACCATAGCGCTCTCCAACCATCTCCAGACATCGAGCACGCCCTGCCGGGCTGGACCAAGGCACACCGCCATTGCAGAAACAGCCAGGAGAGCGGCCGTTCTGCAGGCTGCCCAGAGATGTGCTGCAGGAACGATGGCCGCAGTGGCGACACGTCACATCTAGCTTCGACATCGCGCCCTTAACGTGGCCTTTCCACCAGCTTTTGTCCATGCGGCTGACATCATACTGGTCACCATAGCGCTCTCCAACCATCTCCAGACATCGAGCACGCCCTGCCGGGCTGGACCAAGGCACACCGCCATTGCAGAAACAGCCAGGAGAGCGGCCGTTCTGCAGGCTGCCCAGAGATGTGCTGCAGGAACGATGGCCGCAGTGGCGACACGTCACATCTAGCTTCGATGTCTGATCTTTCACATGGGTTTTCCACCAGCTTTTGTCCATGAGGCTGACATCGTACTGGTCACCACAGCGGTCCTCAAGGCTTCGCAAGGCCCTGAACCAGCCAGCTTCACTTCTCCATCTGAATCTGGCTTCTTTGTTCTTCTTGGATGCAGTACCACGAAATCGCTCCAAGGCCACATTTCGGGCGACTCCTACGCAGCGGCTCGGTTTCCAGCCTGCACCCAGAAATGGCGAGAGCCCAGGGGAATACCGCTTGGCCAGGAGCCCCAGTGCCAGCAGCCAACAGAAGAACCACGACCTTCGCCGAAGCGTCGGCATCGTTGGAGCCTCCTGTTCGGCCACTTATGTTGAGCCGGCGGCAGCGCAAACAGACAGAGTAAGTGGCGGCCAGGGGTGTGATCGAACTTTTGGGATCGGGTTCGGCAAGGGGCATATTTAGGGTTTGGACTCAAGTGTTCGGCAGCTGGGCATCGAAGCACTCAAGCCTCCAACTCTTGCTCGACGCGTGGGCGAAATAGGTCAGCAACCATCTGCGCCTGCACGGCACGAACACACTTTGACGTCTGCGCAGGGTCGTGACCAGAACGCAGTATCTAAACACCCTTAACGACCCCAGGCTTGAGGGGGTAAGGGAGGCGCGGGGTTGAGGTTCAGAGGTTCGGGGCTTGAGGGCTTTCCGGACTTTTGAGGCTTCGGGTTTTTGGGCGTAGTTGAGAATGGAAGCGAGCCCTACGTACATTTCTGATTCTGAAGCCGTGATGTAGGAACATCCCGTGCACTGCTCCCCCTGGTCCCCTTCTACCTGAACCCTAAACCTTGAGAGCCTGTAGGTCGGCCCTTTGAGGCGCTCTCTTTAAAATGTTCCTAATAGCGATTCTTCAGAGCCGCAAGTAGGAAAATATAGAACATCTCTAGAAACCCTGGAGCAGACGAATTCTTTCCTTTTAAGAGCCGACCGCAAGCCGATCCGCTGCAACGGGATGCGAGATGCCCGCGCCGAGCACGGTGCTGCAGCTGAGAGGTTTAGGGTTCGGGGGCTACAGGGCACAGGGGTTCACATCGGCATGGTTTCAAGGGTCCCTGAACCCTAAACCCCAAAACCCTAAACCACCACCCTTACGTCGAGGTTCCTCCACAAGGCTTGCGGCCTTAGCCTGGCGTGTCTGCACCTGTGCCCTTGCTACCCCCACAGGCAAGTTCTGGTTGCCGCTCCCAAACATGGGCCCCTGTGGGCGGGCGAATACAGGCTGGCCCTGCATTATAGGCACTGCCCTGAAAAAGGGACCACATCTCAACTGAATCCCATGTGCTAGGCTGCTTGGCGTGTGGGGCATCTCTCTTCCCACATAATCGTGGGTGTGTCCGCAGTGCCTTCAGCACAGGCCGACACCACCCCAAACATAGTCAAGCTAAACGATCCGAAGCGAAGGAATGTCAAGAAACAGAGTAGGGCTGAGGATTCAGGGTTTTGGAGGGTTCATGAACCAAGGCTGCACAGAATCGGGCGCGGGTCCCCTAGGGCCCTCCGACCCGGCATCAAGCACTCGGGCCGCAAGTCTTCGCGGAGCCGGATGGTCCTTGGGTCATGTGGCGGACTGCGGCCCATCTCCGTGCCAAAGCCCTCTCGACCCTCAACTCGGTGTGTTCTGTTGGTGAGGAGTAGGGTCTGGGGTTTAAGGATGAGGGTTCGATGGCGGGCTCCCGCTAGCTTTCTACTGGGCTTCTACAGCGGAGAAATCCGAAGCCCGGGTTCATGTCAGCAGTTTGGGGTTTAGGGCTTCGGGTTGAGGGGTTTAGGGGTTTAAGGGTTTATAAGGGTTTAGGGTTTCGGGCTTAGGGCTTAGGGTTGCGGTTTGGGACCACCACCTTTGCAGTTCAGTGGCGGGACAGGGACCGTCGGTCGCGCGTGCCGACCCGACCTGATGCGCAACCACCTGATTCAAAACCCCTTCTAAACCATCCAAAGCCATCCGATTTGGTTTAAGGCTTAGGATCTAGAGTCTGGGTTTCAGGTGTTTGGCTTTAGAGGGGGAGGAGTTATCGTGGGGATATTGGGTTGCGGGCCGAGTGCCCCTCAACCACCATCATTTCTTAGGGTAGGGTTCCATGGTCCCTTACTACGAGGCCTCAATTGGGGAATCGGAACCCTTTTATACCCCGGCCGTACATACCCGAGGGCCCATACTTCAGGACCCTTTAGAAGCAGGTAAGGGAACATATGTGACTACCCGACTACCCTTAGGCTGTCAACCCCCTTGTGGGCCGTACGAAACCTGTCAGCTGCAAATTTCCATCGCTCGGTAGCTACTAGTGACAAGAGCTCAAACACAACCGTCTGTACACCAACGAGGTTGAACCCTCTAAACAAAGGATTCCTAAAAAGCCATCCGCTTAAACCCTATACAGGGGAAAACCCTATACAGGGAAAGATCCGAGAAAAATACAAGGACCTACTCAGAAACCAAAATCCCAGGAGATAATTTGGACCCTATAAGCCCCAAACCCCAACACCCAAACCCAAGCCCCAAACCCCAAACCCTTAAACCCTGAAACGCTTCGACCCTTAAACCCTTCAACCCTTAAACCCTTAGACCCTGACTTGGACCCGTGAGGCTCTGAGGATCTGAGGATCGAGCTCACGCTGCGGCGCCACGCGCCTGCGGGGTCGCAGGGGGCTGTGGGCTGACTTCAGGGAATCGTCAGGCTATTTGACTTTTTAGGTCTTGTTGGGGACGTCTGACCTTGTTTAGGGACTTTTGGGGGCCGTTTTGCTTCTTAGGCTTGGGGGTCAGCTGAACCCTGGCAACCTTGAACTGCAAGGTCTCGCGAACCCTGCAACTCTGAACCTTCAAGCCCTAGACACCAAACCCAGGAAGACCCCGAGCCCGAGAGCACCCTGAAACCCTCAGAACCTCATTAAACCCTAGCTAAACCCAAATTAAACCCTAACTAACCCCGAATTAAACCCCAATCAAAACCCAACTATATCCCTAGTTAAACCCTAGTTGAACCGCAATTACAACCCCACTAAACCCTGAATTACGCCCTAGAGCCCCAAAACGCTGAACGCCCAGATCCCCATGACCCGCGTCCTTCTCCGCACGCCATGCCAGGGTTCGGCGTCTCGTGGGGGACCTGTCCGGTTTAGGGTTTAGAGGGTTTGTAGGGTTTGTAGGGTTTGTAGGGTTTGTAGGGTTTATAGGATTCATAGGGTTTATGTTCCGGGGGCTGCAGCTGAGTTTGACAAACCTTTTTGGCGCCAAGCCTCATCAAAGGCCTCAGCTACACTGCACGTTGACTTGCCCGGCTGTGTCACGTTTGGCGTAGGTCCAAACGTGCAAGGGTTTAGCAAGGGATTAAGGCTCAGTGTTCTCAGCTCAAGCTCACTTTGAACTGCATCCGTATCCAGCCTGAGTCCGAAGCCCAAATACTACTCAAAAAAACTAAGCACGCCAACCCCCTCCTTCCCACTTTGCCTTCCGCCTCCGCACGCCCGCAGCGCTCACCTTTGAGTGCAGCTTTGGGTCTTAGAAGTGCTGAGAGATTCTCGACATCAGGGTGTGTGAGATTAGCCTCAAAGGATGTTACAAGCCTCCCTTAAGCCCGAATTAAATCCGAAACCAACCCTAAACCCTAAACCTTAAACCCTAAACCCTAACCCCTAAATCCTAAACCCTCCTTAAGCCCTACATCCGAAACCATGACCCCGACACCCCCCTCCCATAGTTGCCAGGCGAAGGGCACTGCGCCGTCCGGTGGGCACTCGATGCCAAGCCTGCGTAAAACAACCCGCACCCACACATCTCATCTCTTGGGGGTGCTTTATAGCTGGAGATGGGCCCTGGGTACCCTGAACTCGATCCCAAACCCCAAAGCCCTAAACCCTAAACCCTCAACCCTGACCCCTTGGTACCCTGAACTCTCTAGGAATACGATCATCGGTTCCCCCCAACTTAGGAGCTTCGCGCGCTGTCGGAGTTTGGGCTTGGAACTCCAACCAAGCGAGGGTTGAGGGCTTTCAAGGATTTTCGGGGGGGCCTTGGGGTGTTTTTGGGGGCTCTTGGGGGTTTTGGGGACTGTTAGGATTGTCGGGTTTTTTGGGGTGCTTCTGGTCTATTGGGCTTAGGATTTTAGGTAGGTGGAGAGATGGGAGGTGGTCTTCCATGGCCGTCCTCTGCGGCGCTGGCTGCGGTGAGGTCCGGCGCGGCATTGCCCGCCACGTCCTTGATTGCGCAAACTGCTCATCTCTCCCGCTTCTCTCGCTCTCCCTCTTTCTCTCATCTCCGCCTTTCGGCGAACCCTACCCTAAACCCCGCAAAATCCCCTAAACCCCTACAAGGCCTAAACTCCGTACAAACCCCCCTTGACCCTAAACCCCCGAAACCCCTAGAAGCCCTAAACCCCCCGCTCCCCCCTTAAACCCTAAACCCGCTAAGCCCCAAAGCCCCCAAACCCTAAACCTTACACCCCCTAAACCCTCTAAGCCCTTGAGCGCCCCCCCTCAATCCCTCTGCTTGCGCAGCCCGGCCGCTCTTTCGGTCGCTTCGCCGTTCGCGGCAAAGGCGTCGGCCGCGCTCTGGGCCAAGGAAGCCGAGGAGCTCAGGAGCTCGCTGCCTCAGCGATTTCTTTCGCTGAAACCAGGGTTAGGGTTTAGGGTTTAGGGTTTAGGGTTTAGGGTTTAGGGTTTAGGGTTTAGGGTTTGGGGTTTGGGGTTTGGGGCTTGGGGCTTGGGGCTTGGGGCTTGGGGCTTGGGGCTTGGGGCTTGGGGCTTGGGGCTTGGGGCTTGGGGCTTGGGGTTTGGCATGGCCTTGACAATTGAACTCTCCAAAAGAGCCTCCAGTGTAAACATTAAACCCTAAACCCCCTCTAGGCCTAAGCCCTCTCACCCAAGCAGGATTTGGGTTGAGAGCGTGCAGCCCTGCTCCCGGCTAAGTTCCCGAAACGCCTGGTCAGCGCGAACCGGGGGGGGGGGGGAGGGGGGGGGGGGGGGGGAGGGGCGGGGGGGGGGGGGGGGGGGCGCAGGGCTTTTAAACATAAAAGTCGCAAAAAGCAACTGTCGGGTTGAGGGCTTATAAGAGGAAACCTAGACCCAAAACTCTAAAGACCTTGCAATCCACAAATCCTAACCCGAAACCCTAAACCCTAAGCTGGCCCTATAGACCCTAAACCCTAAACGCTAAACCGGCATGTCTCTGCCCAGTGGCAGAGGACTTCTGTGAGCCTGGCAGCGGTCAAAAGCAGCGTAAGTGGCCCGCTATGCCTAATCTTCTTCCTTGGGGTGTACAGGGTTTAGGGTTTAGGGCTGAGGGTTTAGGGTTGGGGGTTTAGAGTATCGGGATTAGGGTTTCAGGGTTTCGGGCTCGCAGGGTTTTTAGGGTTTAGGGCTTCCTTGCGGCTCTGGTTCATACAGGTCTGGAAGAGCACAGATGTCTTTATCATGCTGAGGACCCTAAACCCTAAACCCGAAACCTAAACTCTAAACTTGAAACCCTAAAGCCCAAACCCGAAACCCTGCTAACCCTAAACCCTAAACCCTAAACCCTAAACCCTAAACCCTAAACCCTAAACCCTAAACCCTAAACCCCCCCACTCCTCGCCTCAGCGTGGAGTAGCCGAGCTGGAAGGCAGCACCCCCGAGCTGCGACAAGTCCTCAGAGAGGCCCCGGAGTCCCAACGTCATTCTTAGGGTTGAGGGTTTAGGGTTTAGGGTTTAGGGTTTAGGGTTTAGGGTTTAGGATTTAGGGTTTAGGGTCTAGGGTCCAGGGTTTAGGGTGTGTCCTAGACTACTATTGAGCCATTCTTAAGGAACCCTTAAGGGGATCTACTTTTTGGATCCTCCCAAAAGTCTGGGTAGAGAGCCGGAGTGTCTACGAGATTTTAGGGTGTAGGGCATTGGGTCTCAGGGGATTGGTTCGCTTTCTTGGGGTTTCAATGGCTCATGTTGGAACAGCTCAATGCAAGCGTTCTTTTGCGGCTGTTAATAAGACTTAACGGTTTAATGGCATATACGATTCAGACATCTTAAGGAAGCAGAAGGGCCAACGGTTTAGGGTTTAGGGTTTAGGGCTAGCGGTTTAGGAACTAGGGCTAGCAGGCTGAAGGGCTAGGGTTTAGGGTTCAGGGTTTAGGTGGACATCTAAGGGTTCCGGCCCTCCCTCCTGCCATCTCTAAACGCCATAGACCCAAATATTTGCCCTAAACCCTACACCCTAATTTAACCCTAAACCCTAAACCCTAAACCCTAAACCCTAAACCCTAAACCCTAAACCCTAAACCCTACATGCACCCAAATTGCTAACGCCCTAAACCGGTCAAAAGCCCTGCTGCCTCGAGGGTATCGGAGGCCGTGGTCTCCAAAAAGTCGCCAGATCGCGGGGCCTCAAGGCGCAGAAAGGGGTGTAGGGTTTAGGGTTTAGGGTTTAGGGTTTAGGGTTTAGGGTTTAGGGTTTAGGGTTTAGGGTTTAGGGTTTAGGGTTTAGGGTTTAGGGTTTAGGGCTTAGGGGCCGTAGAGGTTGATCATGGAGGTTTAGGGTGTATAGGGTAACCGAACAAGAACCTCTGAATGCCGCCACAGCATGGAACCCAAAAACCTGAAATGGCAAAGTCTAAAACATCTTTAGAGTTGGGGTTTCGGGCTAACGGCTTACAGGGCCGATTGAGAGCCCTAACCCCTAAACCTACACCCTAACCCTAAACCCTAAACCCTAAAGCCTAAACCCTAAACCCCATACCCTAAACCCCAAAGCCTAAAGCCTAAACCCTAAGCCCCATACCCTAAACCCTAAACCCGAAACGGCGGCCTGCTCTCGAGGGCGGTGGTGGGTGGCGATGGCTGTGAGCACAATCTGCCGATCCACCCTGAGATGCTTGGACGACTGAACCCTAACCCCTAAACCCTAAACCCTAAACCCTAAACCCCAAACCCTAAACCCTAAACCCCAAACCCCAAACCCTAAACCCTAAACCCTAAGCCCTAAACCCTCAACCCTAAACCCTCAACCCCAAAACGCCAGTCACTCCCCAAACCCTCTCAGAGCTCGCGGCTGCAGGCTGCGCTCCAGGAAGTGCAGCGCCTGCCGGCCCTAAACCCTAAACCCTAAACCCTAAACCCTAAGCCCTAAACCCTAAACCCCAAACCCCAAACCCCAAACCCTAAACCCTAAACCCTGGCTCTTGCAGGGTTTGGAGCTCCTAAGGGTCTAGGCCTTTTTGAGTGGTTCATTGGCAGAGCTTCGGGCTTAAGGTCTGGGGACTTCGGGGAAGGTATAGAAATTCTTAAAAGGAGTTTAGGGTGGGGGGGAAGGAACTCGGGATGTACCTTTGGGAATATGTAGGAGAAAGCTAGGGTTCATGGACCGCAGGACAGATGTCAGACGTACATAACTGTCATCAGATAATCAGGGAAGGCGCCTACCCACCCCCCGAGGGCCCGTATATCATGGAGCCCAAACTCCTCACCAAAGGCGCACCTCCAAAGTTTCCAGCTACTTGAAGTATGATCATCCCAAAGCCCTAACGTCCAAAACCTAAGCCCCACACCCTAAACCCTAAACCCTGAACCCTAAACCCCAAAACCCTAAGCCTCAAATCATGTTGGCATGGCCTCGGGCGACTGGCGAACTGCGGCCAGCGCGGCGGCGCGGTCGCCCCGCACCTGGCAGCAGCTGGGCGAAGTGGAACTTGACACGACTTGAGTCACCCTAAACCATTGGTAGGCTAGGGTTTAGGGTTTAGGGTTTAGGGTTTAGGGTTTAGGGTTTAGGGTTTAGGGTTTAGGGTTTCGGCTTAGGGTTTTAGGGTTTAGGGCTTGGGGTTTGGGGTTTGGGGTTTGGGGTTTGGGGTTTGGGGTTCAGGCTTCAGGCTTTAGGCTACCTGTCGAAGCCTCTCAACTCCCAACCCTCGGAATGCCTCAACCCCTGGATCCCCAAAGCCCCTCGGAAAACGCCTCCAATCCCAACGCTGAAAGGAAGCCTTTGCCAGGCGCCCTACAACCCTTCGGGTTTCGGCTTTATGTGTATAGGGTTTTGTGGTTTAGGGTGTACGGTTTCAGGGAATCTTCCGCCGCTCTCTGGCACGCCTTGGCCGGCGCATCCTGAATTCGAGTCCAGTCCTGCGGGCAAAAGGAGGAAGATGGGAGGTCAGGGTCAGTCAGGGAGGCTGGATGCTTGGGGCTGATGGAGTAGTAGAGTCCCTAAATCCCTAAACCCTAAACCCCAAACCTTGCGGGAGTATGACTAGTCTGGGCTTGAAGAGTCTTAGGACTTAGGCTTCTAGGGGCTTTCAGAGGCTTCTGGGTTGAGGGCTGAGGGTTTACTAGGATGGCCCTTAAAACCCTCTGAAACAATTCCTGAATATGATCCTCGTGAACCCACTAGAGGAAAATACAGAATATTCCAAGGACCTGCCTAAGTTTAGCAAGGGCTTATGAAGGGTTTAAACCTGCAAGGTATGAGCCAAGTCACTCTGGCAACTGTCGCGCGCCAGTCGTTCAAATCCATTGCGCGCGCCTGGCGGGCAACCCATTCATGTCGAAACCCAAAGAGCCTGTAAAGCTAACAACCACTCTATGGCAAGCACTGATTCGCCCTGAGCCGAACGAATAAGATTGTGAGGGGGGGTCGGGGGGGGGGGGGGGGGGGGGGGGGCGGAGGGGAGTGGGGGGGGGGGGGGGGGAGGGGGGCGGGGGGGGGAAGGGGGGGAGGGGGGGGGGGGAGGGGGGGGGGGGAGGGGGGGGGGGGGGAGGGGGGGGGGGAGGGGGGGGGGGGGAGGGGGGGATCTGAAACCCAAACCCTCAACCCTCAACAACCTCAACCCTCAACCCGCAACCCGCAACCCGCCCTCAAGCCTCAAGCCTCAAGCCTCAAGCCTCAAGCCTCAAGCCTCAAGCCTCAAGCCTCAAGCCTCAAGCCTCAAGCCTCAAGCCTCAAGCCTCAAGCCTCCAAGCCTCAAGCCTCAAGCCTCAAGCCTCAAGCCTCAAGCCTAAAGCCTCAAGCCTCAAGCCTCAAGCCTCAACCCTCAACCCCAAGACCACCCTGGAGAACTGGCGCCTTCTTCGGCTCAGGCCGAAGTCTCCGGAGAACTCAGGGGGAGCGGAGTCTCTGCCATTGCATGAGATCCCTCACTGCGGCAGCGAATAGATGTCTTGTGGAGGGGCCTGCTTTTTTCTATTTGAGGTTAGAAGTCTGAGGAGCTCTCAAATTCTTATTTTAGGGCTTCAGTGTTTTTCGGGTGTTGTTTGTGAGCATTTAGGCTCCAGCTTGAGCGCACAAACACTTCGAGTTGTCGCCGCAGGTCGGGCGGCCTAGCTCCAAAAGCCGAGAGCTCTCCCAACTTCCACCAAATCCCATAAGGCGCCTTTAAGCCCTGAAACCCTAAACCCTAAACCCTAAACCCGAAACCCTAAACCCTAAACCCTAAACCCTAAGCTCAAGCCCTAAACCCCAAAACCCTATAAACCCTAATTAAACCCTCTAAACCCTAAACCCTAAAAGCTGCCGGCGTCATGGCCAGGATGGGTCCTCAAAACCCTGAGGAGGCATGGCAAACCCGAAGCCCCCAGCACGAAACCCGCGCCACATGACCACTTTCTGAAAACCCTTTGGGTTCAGGGTGTGAGGTTTAGGGTTTAGGGTTTAGGGTTTAAGGTTTAGAAGGTTCATAAGGGTTTAGGGTTTCGGGTTCTAGGTTTAGGGTTTAGGGCTTAGCGTTTAGGGTTTAGGGTGGGCTATGAGGTGTACAGAGAAGGGATCCCTGCTGCACATGCGGCGGCCTCATTCTTCCGGAAGAAGTTCTTTGCCGCGGTCTGCTGCTTCGTTCTGGCCGGCGTGTGTGGGGTTTAGGGTTTAGGGTTTAGGGTTTAGGGTTTAGGGTTTAGGGTTTAGGGTTTAGGGTTTAGGTTTAGGGGTTAGGGTTTAGGGTTTAGGGTTTTGGGTTTAGGGTTTAGGGTTTAGGGTTTAGGGTTTAGGGTTTAGGGTTTAGGGTTTAGGGTTTAGGGTTTAGGGTTTAGGGTTTAGGGTTTAGGGTTCAGGGTTTTGGATTTTCGGTTTAGGGTTTAGGGTTTAGGGTTTAGGGTCTGAGGTTTATATATTATGGCTTAGAGGGCTGAAAGGGCTTGCAGATTCACATGGGTTCGTAAGGTTTCGGGCTTCTCTTGTCAGAGTGTTCTAAGAGGTGATATTTTGGGGCTTGTGGGGACGTGGGTCTGAGGGTGTCGGGGGCGGATGGCAAGGGAAACTACTCCTCGACACAACCTCCTGTTCCAGGACCAAAAACCCACAAAACCCTAAATCCTAAACCCCTAAACCCCTAAACCCCTAAACCCCTAAACCCCTAAACCCCTAAACACCTAAACCCCTAAACCCCTAAACCCCTAAACCCTCAACCCTCAACCCTAGCCCGTAAACCCTTACCCTTGGCTCAGGAAAATATTCCTGAAATCATGTTCAGATCCCGATTAGATAATTGTAAGGAATGTTTCCCGGAGTAAGGGGCATCCGGAATCTAAACCCTACACTCCCTGAACTCCCTAAACTCCCAATAAGTCCCTAAGGTCCCTAAGGTCCCTAAGGTCCCTAAAGTCCCTAAAGTCCCTAAAGTCCCTAAAGTCCCTAAAGTCCCTAAAGTCCCTAAAGTCCCTAAAGTCTCTAACCTACAGTCCCTAAAGTCCCTAAACCCCAAAACCCCAAACCCCAAACCCCAAACCCCAAACCCCAAACCCCAAACCCTGAACCGAATGAAGGAATATCATTGAGTCTGCTAGTTCCCGCATCACCTGACTCCCCATTTTCTTTCGGGCGCCGACTGGGTGGCTGATCTGAAGAACTGCGCGTGCTTTCCTTTTTAATCATGGGTTTAGGGTTTAGGGTTTAGGGTTTAGGGTTTAGGGTTTAGGGTTTAGGGTTTAGGGTTTAGGGTTGACAGCTCTCGAGGTGCCAATGAAGGGTCACGGTCAGCACTTTGAGACCAACCTCCCACTTTGCGGCATCTTGTCGCCTGCTGGCAATTGGGGTCCCGCCAACCTCCCCCCCTAAAGACGTAGGGTCGAGTTAGGGTTTCGGGTTTCGGGTTTCGGGTTTAGGGTTTAGGGTTCAGGGTTTAGGGTTTCGGGTTTAGGGTTTAGGGTTTAGGGTTTAGGGGAATCTTTCGAGGTACCCTTTAATGGGGGGAGGTTCGGGGACCCCCTAATGATGGGTGGACTTGGGCGTGTAAAGCCAGGAAGGCATCGGCTACGCCAGGGAGTTCCAGCCGCAGATGCTGGAACTTCTTCCCTAAACCCTAAACCCTAAACCCTAAACCCTAAACCCTAAACCCTAAACCCTAAACCCTAAACCCTAAACCCTAAACCCTAAACCCGAAACCCTAAACCCTAAACCCTAAACCCTAAACCCTGCGAGAGGTCCTTCCTGTCAGGGGTGCTCAGAGGGCGCCCAAGGGGAGTTTCCCAAGCGCGCCGAAGCTCAGAAGTGAGACACTGGAAGATGTGACCCGAGACCCCAAGACCCCCTTGGCAGCCTGCATCGATTTAGGGCATGTGGGGGGGTTTACGAACATAGGGGAACCCTAACATAGAACCCCCAAATAGTAGGATTCCCTTGCAAAAGGACCCCAAGAAGGCACCCTCATTTCGGAACCCCCCATAGAGTGGTACAGACGAGTTTAGGCTTGTGGAGCCAGAGCTGGGGGAGGTAGGGATTCTAAGGTGGTTGCAGACGGATGATAAGCGGATTACACACATATCATACTTGGTAGCCCAGTAACCATATTGACGTAAGGGCACCCTTTTTGGGTTTGGTTACTTTATAGGGAACCTTGAACACAAAAAAAGGGACGACAAGGGTACCACTGGGCTACCAAGCATACCGATGATAAGGGTTTGTTTTCAAGGGCTTCGGAGTCTCCTCCGCGCAGGAGCTCGTAGCTCCTCCTTTCCGCTTACACAACGAGTCCCACCACTTCCCCAGGTGTCGGACTGGGAGAGTCGCACCTGGTCACAAGCAGGCATCTATGAGGGGTCTAGCCTTCGGGAGTTTACGGGTGTAGGGTGTTTGGGGATCTGGCGGAGCTTTCTCAAAACCCCAAACCCTAAACCCCGAACCCTAAACCCGAAACCCTCAATCCAAACTTTTGCAGGCTTGGGGTCGACAAGAATGCAGACCAGTCTCGGCCGCCAGAAGCCGTTGATCAACAACGGATCGCAGTCGCCTGGCTGCCTCGGACCGGGTTCCAGACACAGGGTATGAGGGTATGAGGGTATGAGGGTTCAGGGTTCAGGGTTCAGGGTTCAGGGTTCAGGGTTTAGGGTTTAGGGTGTAGGGTTTACGGTTTAGGGTTGAGGGTTTAGGGTTTAGGGTTTAGGGTTTAGGGTTTAGGGTTTAGGGTTTAGGGTTTAGGGTTTAGGGTTCAGCATCTCTGACCCAAGCATTCACTAAGACTAAGGGTGTTTGGCATCACCCCACCCACCCAGATCCCTTTCATTTGGCAACCCTATCTACCATTTCAATTCTTATTGCCTAAGACCCCTGAACCTTGAATCCGAAATCCTAAACGCCCAAGATAGCTTTCAAAAACCCAAAGCACCTCAAAAAGGGTGGAACTCAGGATTTGCTTGCTCCCGCAGTGAAAAATGCTGTTCTTTAATACTGAAATCGACGGTATCGGGGCCCCTCCATTTTACCCCAAAGCATTGCCACAGCCCCAAAAAGCTTTAAAAAGCCCCAAAAGGCTTCAAAAAACCACCAAAAAAGGTAGAACCCAGGATTTGCCTGTCCTGCAATGACAACTCCTGTTTTTTAGTACTGAAATCGACAGTTTCGGGGCCCCTCCATTTTACCCCAAAGCACCACCACAGCCCCAAATAGCTTTCAACAGCCCCAAAACGCCTCAAAAACCACCCAAAAGGGGGGGGGGGGGGGGGGGGACCCAGGATTTGCCTGCTCCCGCAATGAAAATGCTGTTTTTTAGTACTGAAATCGACGGTTTCGGAGCCCCTCCATTTTACCCCAAAGAGCCACCACGGAAATTGTTTGGGAAAAGCCTAGAAAGGCTCAGAAATGGTCTAGGAGAAACCCACAACACCTCATGGTCTAGGAGAAACCCACAACACCTCAGAAATGGTCTGGGACAGGCTCGGACATGGCCCGAAACAATACATTTTTGAATTGGGGCTTTCGAAGCCGCCTGGGAAGCCCCGTAAAAGCTCCTGGGAGGTTTCTGGGGGGAGGGAGTAGGATTTAGGATTTAGGATTTCGGATTTAGGATTTAGGATTTAGGATTCAGGATTCAGGATTCAGGATTTAGGATTTAGGATTTAGGATTTAGGATTTAGGATTTAGGATTTAGGATTCAGGATTTTTTCGATTTAGGATTTTGGAACCACGAAACCACAAAATCACAAGACGACCCCATTAAGGTTTAATTATATATAGGTAGAGAGTGTTTAGGATTTAGGACTTCGGGTTAGGGGCTTCGGCGCACCCTTAAACCTGCGGGCCCCAGGCTCAGGGCCTGGCATTCCTTTTGTCAGCGAGGGGGGGAAAGGGGGGGAGGCACTTTGGGCGTGCGCAACACCAAAGAAGGGTTTAGGGTTTAGGGTTTAGGGTTTGGGGTTTGGGGTTTAGGGTTTAGGGTTTAGGGTTAACCCCCCAAAAAAAAACCGAAAAGAAACCTCAGCCCTTCTAAGGGGTTCAGTTCGGGGATTTGTTTAGGGGTTCAGGGGGTGGGTTATGGGTCAAGCTCAGGGTCCCTAAACCCCTCTAAGCTCTAAGAGCTAAAACTTGAGAGCTAAACCCTAAACCCTAAACCCTAAACCCTAAACCCTAAACCCTAAACCCTAAACCCTGAGCCCTAAGCCCTAAGCCCTAAATCCCAAACCGAAGTGAGAACTGAGGCCCCTGCGGCGACAAGGGAGGCACCGCCGTGCGCTGGTACTCCCCCAAGCGCTGGACAAGCCTTCCGCAGCCACTTCCATTCTAGGGTTTAGGGTTTATAGGGGTGATTTTAGGGTTTTGGTGTTTTTGGTTTAGGGTTTAGGGGTAAGGGTGTGGGGTTTAAGATAAAAGGGTGCAGGGTTCAAGCCTCAACCCCGTCAACCCCAAAGCGCAACTCTGGGGACTACAGGGTCTGGGCTTCGAGGCGAAGGCAATGTTGCTGCGCTGGTGCTTGTCTCCCTAAACCCTAAACCCTAAACCCTAAACCCTAAACCCTAAACCCTAAACCCTAAACCCTAAACCCTAAACCCTAGTCTGTACTTCGGGATCTGGTCTGCACCGAGGGCGGCATAAAGGCTTGAGAATGGATGTGGGAGCTTTCGGATAAACCCTAAACCCTAACCCTAAACCCTAAAGCCTAAGCCCCTAAACCGCTAGACCCGAAAGAGGTCAAGGAGTCTACTGTGCATGAGGCTTAGGGGTTTCGGGATTGGGATTTGTGGGTGCCAGATGGTTCAGGGATACTCAGGGTATATGATTTGATGCCTGGAGGACTCTCCGAAACTCCCCCAAACCAAACCCCCTTGACCCCGGGACCCTAAACCCTAAACCCTAAGCCCTAAACCCTGAACCCTAAACCCTGAACCCTAAACCCTGAACCCTTGCAAGAGCCAGCGTTCGAGGGTCTAGGAATACGCATGGACCTCACAGGGCATTTTGCTGGTGGGGAGTTCTGTGAAGCACGATGACGTTTGCGGGCTTTCTTGCGATTGCAACCGCAGCATCCCCGGGTTTAGGGTTTAGGGTCTAGGGTTTAGGGTTTAGGGTTTAGGGTCTAGGGTATAGGGTCTAGGGTCTAGGGTCTAGGGTTTAGGGTTTCGGAAGGGTTT